GAAATGTGTCGGAATCCCCAAACAATCAGTCGTTTGTTGAATGTTTTTAATATTGACGTTTCATTGTTATAAAATGACGGTTTCTGTAACAGCACGATCACATCTATAGAGACGTCCTTGTCAAGCTGAGAAACTAAGTAAAAAAACAACAAACAGGTCATGTTTACAGTATGGTGAATTGAAACATTTGTTGGTGTTTTTTGTTGATTTCCTCTCATTATAGGCGGTTGCTTATCATTAATCACCATTTTCTCGATGTGTACTACTGCCTTCTCACATGGTATATCTTCTGTCGAGAGTGGTTAAGGTCGTTGACTTTAATCTACTTTCCTCACTTTGGATTCTTTTATGTTTGGAAGCTATCCACCTAGCTTACGAAGCGACGGTGGTTCTACTTTGGTACCAGTTCATGCTTTTAAATGATGTGGGGGCACCTGAGTTCTTTATCCAGCAGTTAGCTATAGGCTGGAAAGTCACCATATGACCAGTGTTTGTGCGACGCGAATACCAACAAAAATTAATTCATGTATAGAATGACGATTAATTTTATTCCTTCTATTAATTTGATTCCTGTCCATCGCCAATTTCAGCAGAAAATAACATGTGCAAGTGCAGAAAAGGGTACCATTTCATTTCAGCAGATTTTGCAAATAGTATACCAATATTGTTATGCACCCTGAGTATCAAATTCAATTCAACAATGAAAGGTCTATTTATCCAATGAATAAGATTAAATATATCGTTTGTTTTGATACTGTAGTTATTACCTGTTTTCAAGAGGTCAATGACATTCTCGGTCTCAATGCTATGATATATAACTGTTACGCCATCTTTAATTTGAACAGAGTTTGTTTTGTTTGAAGCTCCACACTGCTTTCTACATATAGCTCCTTGAACAGAGATATATAATGAATTATTGATGGTCTTATCATAGGAGAAATGTCATGCACATTGTCTGTGTTTTAAAAAGCACATTTCATTTGTAAAGTTCTTATAGCATTGAATAAGAAGGCTGTTTTAAAGAGTGAGGCTTTATTTTGACTCTATATTTTACAACGTAGCGAATTGTTGACAGAAATCACCTACATGAGAAAGAGTTCAAAGAAAAAAGCTGAGTTTTTAAATTTCAGCCCGCTCCTGTGACTTACAATGAGGTTTCAGAAAATATTTATATGTTCTTAAAATTAAGTGTGCCCTATGCAGAGAACTTTTAACCTTAAAACACATTCATATAAAAAGTTCCGCTGAGGTCCAAAAGTATTAAAAATCGTTTAATATAAACTAGCTGGACAACTTTTGAAAGACAAATTGAGAAATATACTCAGAATGACATTAAAAATGGATATTACATCTGATTCTTAGCCCGATTAGAATCAAATGTGTTTGAACAGTTTTCAATTTATGGTAATTCTGCACAATAAAACTGACTATTCTGGATAATCGGATTTCGCAAAATAACCTGAAAATTTGCACACATATAAGTAATAGAAAGAGCATCGAAACACGAGGCTATCTGATTTGTACAAGGGGCATAGCCCCGGAGTATTTATCATATTGTTGAGTGTTTTGATGTTCTTTCTGTTTTGTTAAACATAAAAATACGTTCACTGTTGTCATGATATGAAACCCCAGAAAAAGTAACCAATGAACAAGCATCTGAATATGATATCTCTATCGTTGTTCTTTTCTCTGCCGTCACAATAAGTAAACCCCAGCAAAAGTGTGCCAATCAATGGGCATGCTCTGGAGAGCAAGTAAGTAATACCTGCACTCCAGTTTACGCACTGTGCATGTATATGTATACGATTTTACTCTGGCACATTTTCAACAGAAAGGTCCACAAACTATGATACAATTAGTATATACCTACATCAAAAAGTTTTAAACTCCTGAATATATTTTCCGTTATGACAAAGACCTCACTGGAGTCCCTTCTATGCAGAATCGGTAAAATATGAAAACGCTTACCAATTACAAAATCCAAGGCATGCCCGTACGTTATTTGTATTGTAACAATACCTAGAATCAATGATTTCACCAAGGTGTCTCTATATATTTTTCCGGCCATTGTCTCTATGTTCAGTCTGCATAAGATTCTTGGTCTTTTCTTTAAAGCATTTGAATAAATATTTTTAACTTTAGAAATTAAGCAAATATTTTCAAGTCGATTTTATTTTGTTAACACCAACGTAATACAATTAGTTGGAATATATGCAGAACTGATTTTAACTAAATTCCTCAAGAATCACTACATTTTCATCCATAATAACTATGTTGCTAATCTCATTTAGATGAGGACCTACAGTAATGTAAAAATTAATTTCTTCGACTGCATAATGATAACGTTTATCACTACGCGAAACACACATTGTACAATGTAAATTACAGTTACAAAATCGATGGACAAATTAAAAACTTCAATTCCTGAAATGTAACGCCTTTAATGTTGTAGACGATGAGGCGATTCGTTGAAACCCCTTAAAATCAATGAATCCACTGCGGCAAGTATAAGTCAATTTTATTATAATATAAAAAGGAATTATGTTAATTCTGTAGTATATAACATAAGCTGCATGAGAGGCATGTCTGCGTTTCATTATGTCATGGAAGTTCTGCAAAAGTGTTAAGAATAGCATATATAGTTGCTTATGTTATACCCGCAGATCTTAAGAGAAATGTATGTTTCTGGTATTAAATAGCCTCATTTAGTAAAGGTAGTAAAGAAGAATGTTTGTGCATACACTACAATGAAATATTGCATTACACAACACTCTGTTAGAGTTAAACAGTAATAAGAAAAGTCAGTAACAGGGAAAGTCACAGGATAAAGGTCTTATGTAAAGGGATAGTTAAGGAAGTTAAACTACACTTTTTTTCCTTTTATAATAAATTTCAAACATTCATTTTGTGAGCAGCTGAAACGTATCCAGTGAGTGGCAGGTATTAACGTGATACAACGTATGGACAAAGCATTGGGACCTTAGTGTGGACAGTATTCCGTTGGTGTTAAAATATGGCAGTTTTGAATTCGTTTTAGAAATTTTATGAATTGATTTCGATGATATAAATACACTATTAGGAAGTTCCGTCATTTTAGTCTTAACATCTTGAGTATCATAATGATTCTCTAGAGCAGCAACAAAGCATCTGGTAACGACGGTTAAGAGTTGTCGGAATATATGAATTACAGTTTTGTACAAATGGTGTGAATGACTTGTTTAAATATCATTCTGTCAGTGAGAATTGACATTTAACATTTAAGTCAGCCATTGATTTTTTGATAGATGACAACATTATGAAATTAATTTTAAGTTTTTAATAAAAATAGGAAATACGCATATAACAGAAATTAGCACGCTTATTATGGACACGTCTGAGTGACTAGCAGCTTATCTTCCTTCTTTTTATAAGAGGCATTGCTGGAGATAATAATTTTCACTGAAGCACATATCATATTTATTCTACTAGTCTACTACTCATTTGTCACTGAAGGAATACTTAAAAGAGTACTCGAAAGACCTAAATTTAGAATAAGAACTGGCAGTAGTGTTTTGTTGTTTTTTTTTAGATAATGCAAATATTCAAACAGTTTCAGAGACATTTGTATAAATAGAAATAAATAAATAAATATCCGTTTGTAATGTGTTCAAATCTAGAAAAATCAAACAAATTACTTATAAATTACTTATAGAGAGAGAGAGAGAAAGAGAGAGAGAGAGGGAGAGAGGGGGAGGGAGAGAGAGAGAGTTTGTGACTTGCGAATAACAATTAAAATTGCTTAGCAAAGCTAGATACCATAGCTATAAATTTATATCGACAATTCTCAATCTAATTGACTTTAGCAAAGATTCATTATTAGATAGAAGGTGAAAAACGTTCTGTCAAAATGTTAATGACACAGCATGAGTTAATATAAATGTTTTACCGCACCCAAATACGATACCTTTTTATCATACTCGCTTGAGAATATGTTTAGTCATCTTCAAACGCTAATATTAGTTTGATCCAAATATTGAATTCATTTTTAATCAAGATCAAGATAGATTGTCAAATTGAATTATTGGTAAACAAATAAACAAATTAACATACTTAAAATTACTTCGTTATTTTTACAGTTCGGCAGGATTGGATCTTTCAAATCATTTTCCCTAGTGTACAGGAAGATCAAATGAGCATATCTAGAGATTCAACCTTGGTCTGCAAACTATATAAAAAGTACAAGCAGTCGAACTTTAAAATATGCGATGGTTGTCTTGGAAGTTCGATGAATTATGCAAAGGCGTCTTCACGGTGCATATCCATATCGGTACCCTCTTTGCGAAATCTGCTGAAACGGTACCCTCTTTGCTTATGCACAGGCCACTCTCTGCTAAAAACAAACCAACTATAGATAACAATCCAGTAAAATTTCAATATAATAAGGAAAGAAGGTATGACACGTAGAAAAGATGTATACCACGGAACACTAGAATGTTTTATCTATGTGCTGATTTGTCATGTGCCCGTTTTTCATGTACTACAACTTCACAATAAGCTACAAAAAATCGACATGTCTTACTTCGCCCATCACCTCGACATATTTTTCGGGCTAAAAATGAACCTGTAGCTTGATTATATATGCATCATACATATTTAGTATGTTCATTTACATATCATCTTCGGACAAATGGCAGTATATTGTCAAAAATAATTGTAAAATTCATAAAAACACCCTACTTTCGGTTTTGCAGCGGCACGGGCTACCTCTCTTCATTTGAATTTTTATATCACAGACACCCTCTCATTTTTTTACACATAGGTACCCTCAAGGCACGACATATGCTTTTATTTGCGTTAATCGTAAGGTATGTATAAATATTTCTTACTTTTATGTAAATATTACATACTTCACGATTAACGCAAATAAAAGCATATGTCGTAAAAAATAAAATCAAATGAACATTTCCATGAATATTGTTAAAAATAATAACTACTACGTGGTCTTGTTTTTGTTGCTTGTTTGTTTATTTCACGAATATGAACATAACTTTACTTTTCTTCGACAGGAATAGTTACAACAAATCTCTCAGCTTTAGGAACAATCAGTCTAATCCTGAACGCACATTGCACCGTGTCCAATGCCTAATCTTTGAAATAAGGAGTTCTATTCCAAACGCGATTGTACTTAATGCGAGTCCACCTGAAAAATATATTGTAGAATATCAACCAATGTAAACAGTATATCATATAGACCTATTCTTTGAAAGTTGAATGCCAACCATACAAAATCAAGCTTACTTGCACCACATCCTTAATCAGACTCGATGCTTTTCACTGATAAATTATATTACAGGTATAAACACACATATTTTTAAAATATGTATAAATTTATTCCAAAGCAAAGTGTATTTCGTAAGTGTAGTATGATTACGTTAAATTATTTGATATTTTCTACATGTATGATATTACCGGCAGCCACGTAAAAAGCACTTTGTACATGTTTCAGTTTCAATTGTTTCGCCTCTGCTTTCGTTGTTTCTTTGTCGCATTTTTCTTTCTTCGATCGCCACCACTTCCTTTTCAAGAATTTTATCAAACCGGAGCTGTACATTCGAGATAGCCTGGCAAAATATAAAGACTAGTAGATATCACCAATACTGCCACTTATACATTACAAATTTACAATAACATGTAAGCGGGTATATCCTATCGATGCTTTTGATGAAAATATTTAATAAAGTTCTTTGTGATAGAAAATATTAAAACAATATGTTGATATGTTTCTGTAATAAATGGTATATGCATTTTGTAAAACATATGACATTCTAAAATGATATATAATCTAAAGTTTAATTGTTGTTATTCTTATTGCTAACTTCGACATCTTTGTTAAAAAGTTACTTGATACAATAGAGAAAGTTAATAAACTGTTGACAACATTTCAGCTTATATTTAAGAATGAATACACATCAGTTACGTTTTTAATACCTTTCAGAAAATATCAGTACATGAGGAGATTTGTCAGGAAACCCAAATGCAATTGATAGCGATATAAAGCGTTCTCGCATTTTAGTAAGTCGACAGTCATTGGCTATTGTTTTGGTTAATGAACCATCGTCACCAATAAACGCATAATTGTCTTCATTCTTCACCTACAAATAAACCAAGTTCGGTGGCTTTGAGCATTAATTATGCATAATACTATAAAAAAACAGTTTTGTTTTGCGTTCGAAATGAATGTAAAGTAAATCTTATTAGCATGACAAGAGAATTTAATGCCTTGACTCAAAACGTTTCTTTTGCTTTGGTTTTTTGATTTGATTATTCTTAGATAAATGAACACATATGAGCCGCGCCGTGACAAAACCAACATAGTGCGTTTGCGACCAGCATGGATCCAGACCAGCCTGCGCATCCGCGCAGTCTGATCAGGATCCATGCTGTTCGCTTACAAACCCTTTAAGAAGTAGAGAAACTGATAGCGAACAGCATGGATCCTGATCAGACTGCGCGAATGCGCAGGCTGGTCTGGATCCATGCTGGTCGCAAACGCATTATGTTGGTTTTGTCATGGCGCGGCTCATATCATCTTTACAGCGTAAACTACCACAGTCACTCTTACTTTGTTGATATGATAAGCATTATTTTTATTCAGTACATCTGGATCCGTTTTGTTGAAACGTCTAATTGCCTCACCTATCGCTTTGAAGTTCGGAGTAGTTGAAGTCTAGAACATAAAACAGTACATAATAATATTGTGTAAATACATGTATTATATAGGTTTTTCCAAATTATCAAATAATGAAATCAATAAAACATGTCTGTCGCGTAAATAAATACATCGTCAACCCAAGAACTGGGCGCAGCCTTGATTTAACATACCGGTTTAATGGCTGGCAAAATCCACTATTATCCTGGCACCAATGTTTAATGCTTAATTTATTTCATTATCAAGACAAAAACACAATATGTAAACAAATACACAGGCAAAAATCTGTCATGCTCAATGTAAAATTGTCAAAGGGAGTTAAGTATAAAGTATAATAATATTACGGAGGAATGTAGGAGTTATTTGTCCCAGTGATATTCGATCAAGAAATGGGAGTTTAACATTTAATGGTATTTTGCATGATAATAATATTTTTTTGGTATTACTTTAAAGTTGACATATGTAACTTGTAAAGTTGCGACTAGAATATGAATATTTTCAAATGATAGTGAGTCTTAATTCATTTCATATATTAAATATTAATATATATATATTTGAATCCAACTAGAACTCGCTTTAACACATCCTATTGTAATAGAGAGTTTTACCATGAATAACTCTTCCCAAAGTGATCCGCCAATTGTTCCCCACTTATAACTGTCAACTTGTTTTGCCATTTCACTCAATGAATTAAATGGTTTAGTTTCTTGAACCACAGTTAAAGAAGCTGTGAGATTTCCGCAATACGTTCCATAGATTACCAAAGAAAACAAACACCAAGTACTGAACAATGTTCTGCCGGTAATCGACCTAGGGCTGTGAACATCAGAATGGCCTGCACAAAAAAAGAATTATTATAATGAATGCTATAATAATAGCTTGTATCATAGTTTGGGGACCTTTCTGTTGAAAATGTGTAAAATCGTATACATATACATGCACAGTGCGTTAACTGGAGTGCAGGTATTAGTTACCCGCACTCCAGAGCATGCCCATTGATTGGCTCATTTTTGCCGCGGTTTACTTATTGTGACGGCAGAGAAAAGGAAAGCGACAGAAATATCATATTCAGATGCTCGTTCATTGGTTACTTTTTTCTCGGGTTTCATGTTGTGACAACAGGGAACGTGTTTTTATGCTTGACTATGATACAAAAGAGAAAGAACATCAAAACACTCGGCAATCTGATTTTTGAAACAGTGATTTTATAGCATAATAACACACACTTTCGGTTCTTCTATGTTCAATAGGGAAACATGCGGGTGGTGTTAGAATCGGGGGCTACGCCCCCTCGTACAAATCAGATAGCCTCGTGTTTCGATGCTCTTTCTATTACATATCATATCAAACCCAATTAAGGTTATTAACTAGAATTATTAAAAAAAACAAAAACAAAAACAAAAAAACATAATGAAAGTCACAACAACAGAATGACAGCTTTATTTCTGTTAATTTGGATTTTTTTGGAAAGTCCTATGCATATACCAATAATATCGAAATAAAAGAATTTATCAGTCTCATCACATTACGTAGTCAATACCGCATAACTCTAGGTTCTTTTCTTTTTATTGTTACTCGGAACACTTGTATGACTAATTGCTATATTTTGATCAATGATCAGTTCAAACTAATTTGTTAAGAAACATAAGTACCTATATTAAAAGTAACAGACAGTTCTGCAGCAGATTAATTGCTCTATTACTTAATTCCTGTGCGCGCTCTCTATCTCTTTTTCACTCAAGATCTTTTGTTTTAAAAGTATGACGAGGTAAGTAGTAACAACTCATCAGAGAAATAAAGCATTGCGTGTCTACAACTACTAGTTATATTTCTCCAAACATAGATTTGCAGAAGAAAATATTGTAAATTATAATTGTAAGTACATGTAAATGGAAATCAAACTTACTAAACAATATCACTTGTGGCGGTACAACCAGATTTAAAGACCATATAATCTCTTGTTTTGGACAATTCAACAACTCAGAATACTGGTCATCAATGTAAAAAACTTCTTTTATTATTGAATTATAATATTCAAAACTATAGTTATCTTATGTTATAATTTAAATTCAAGTGTTCTTACTTTCATTTAAGACAATCATGCCAAGACCAGATATGGACCCATAGACCGACATGAATCCGCATCTGTTCCTCAAACAATTGTGAACTGATTCATGTGACTTTAACGCAGTTGTATAGAACGGGTTGTTACGTTCCAAGATCATCATAATAATGGACCCAAGAAAAAGTGTGGCGATTACAAGTAAAATAACCTGCCACTGAAAAGGAAAGTACATGTAAAGAATTTACCAGCGTTTTATAGCTCTTCAAGTTCAAAATGCATACATATATCATTTATTTCTCTAACTTATTTAGTCAATTTAATGGTATACGCACAGGTATGCGACGCATACGTCAACAAACCTTGAATGGATCTGCTAGCTTTCGCCAGTTGTTGTTTTCATTAGTCAATCGTTTCATAAGTACAGTGCTATAGGTGAAGTAAAAAGGAACCGTGAAATCCATGACCATCTCTCGTTCGTTTGATATTGCAATATCACCTACAACCATGTCGACTTCCTGTAAACAAACAAATTCATTCCATTATTCCTGAAAACGGCACGTCAAAATCACACTTTTTATCATTAGAACCCTCCAGTTTAAAAATTGTTTTGAAATTCTAAAATTGATAAACGCACATCAGCATAAAGCCAGTATACGTCGCACAAAATATCTAACAAATAATTGAAAACAAAAATGTTTGAACTAGAAACGTGTTCATAGGACAACTTAACCACATTTTTATTTGCTGTCATATTGTAAAATATGGTGGCATATTTACAAAATATTGCATATTGTATAAACGTCAAGTGTTACATCAATGAGGAATATATATTTATATGATAACATGTGGCGAAACAAGAAAAATTCATGCTAAAATAACTCATATTAACTAGTGTTCATTGCCGACTGGTTTCTATATCATCAGGGTTATAAATAAACATAAAACCATAGTTCGTCATAATCATCAATAGTACACAAATAACGTCAATTGACGTTCTAACAATGGTTTTATGTTTTTTTTATTTATATCTATATATAATAGAATCATAACTGATACGGTCTGAAAAAATCTCGATTAGGAAAGCATTTCGTGCACCCCTGTGGCCTCGCCCTGATGACCTCAAAGTCAATAGGCATCTTTTAAGGGCCATTGGCTGTGTCCCAACACATTTCTAAATTTTTTTAAGTTAACGATAAGGCAAAAAATATATAAAATATCATTGTTACTTTGTCCTTTTATCAATGACCTAAATCAATACGGGCATCTACATGTATTTGACCATTAATCTTAACCACTGGCTCCAAAATTAATAATGGTTTTATACCAGTTCAGGTCAACCCACAAACACAATCATTGAAATGAGGCAAAGGCTTTCTCTAGTTAATTGGTCGGACAAGCTTTAAATGGCCAAACCCATGTAGCCTCTGACAAAGTGACCTCAAAACCAATAGCAGCCATGACAAACCACAACACAGACTTCTAGGAATGTTGGTCAAAGCATTCTTTAGTTATTGACTTGCCAAACTGTCAGGTGCCAAAGCAACTGTGATTTTAACCTTTGACAAACTGATCTAAAATGTATAGTGGTTACACATTGATCATTAACATTTTCCCTTCCAAGTAACAAATATCATATCGTTTTCTTTCTCATGCTTTCAGACATACAGACGGACAAATATGGACCAATCCCAGTCTTCTTAATGAATTAATCATAATTTAAAAAAGTTTAAAACTGTTAAGTCATAAACATAATTATAACTGTTCTCACCTTTCTTTGGACTTGACCAATTAGACCATTGAATTCAAGTGTAGTCTTGTTAACAACCATTCCGTAATTACCATCCGGTACTTCAAATAGCTGATACCTATAGGGAAATTGATAATAAAGATTGAATTTTGCAATGAAATCAATCGACAATTTTATAATCTGTAAAATTGCACCAAGTAGTTCGTCATGCTTATTTGCCGAGTGACAATATAAATTAAGCAGGTTTGGCTTAACCACATGATTTCTTTGAAGTATGTCCTCTGAAATCTCAAAGTTAAACATGTATGCGCTAGGTCACAATTAGCTTAATTTCAAATATAAATGAAAATCAAATACAACAATACCGATCATTGTAAAGAAGATAGATGGTCCAAGTATGGTTATATTTTTAAATTCTAGTCATGGATAAAACATCGTTAAGTAGTCGAACCAGCTAATATAAATACTTTGTTTTACAATCATTCTTGTAAGAATACAGTACGTTGAATCTAAATAAAGTATAAATATAACGTACTTGAAATTAAGAGTTTCGGCCAATCAGAGAGGACATCAATAATAAACCCTGTAAACTTTGTTACACCGTCAATCTCAGCTTTTATTACATACGGAGGATACTGTAAAAATATTTTGAGTTAGGTCTAAATACGAATAAACAAGTGTTAAAAATCAATGTCAAACCCGTCTTTCAACATTACAGCTACTTGGTCATTTAATATTTTCCTAAGGTTAAAAAGCTTACATTTTAATGATGCGAAAATCAGGAAATTAGATTTGTTTTGCACATATTTTAAATATATCTGGCTTTCAATGGCCATTATGTCTATGTAATGCTTTTTTTAATTTTGTTTGAAAATCATCTTAAACTTTGTTTTCTGATAGAGTTTACAAAACGTTACTCGTTGACCAATTACCTGAAGAATATTTTATTCTATTACATTCTTAGAATTAGGAAAATTAAGGAGATTTAATATATTGTATGGGAGTCAAAATACTACTTTGCTAACAATTTGCTAATTTTTATGACAAATAATTTCACATTCAGCGCTACTTTCTTCATGTAATTAACATCCTACATTCTTTAAAACCATTGTTTAAACACTATTAAACTTATGTTAGCCCTTTCTAAGGATAGGAAATTATATTCTTATCTGAGGCATATTGGGTCTTTTAAATGACACCAATGCAGAACATGATTTGCCCACAGATCACATCAGATATACTGCATACCAAGGGTTTCAATAAATAAAAATGGAAATTTGAGGTATTTGGCTATACAATCTGACTAAAGTTCAGATCTACTTTTTACTTTTAAGAGCTGATTTTAATCAGATTGCTGGCTATAGACATATTGTAAATAAATATTCGAAGTGAGCCTTTAATTTAGGATTTTTTTCTACTAAAATTTAATGATATGAGTTACCGCAATTTAATTATTGTATAATACCTGCATATACCAGAGAATTGAAGTAATTGCTTCTGGCTATAGGTTATATAATCAATATGACAGACGAATAGAATACGGTTTGAAATGACAAACCACCCTTTTAATCAAATAGTAAGTGCGACAGTACTAAATTATAGTCAACTGTATAATGAAAGAAAATGTAATATTTGCTCAAAATTAGAAGATGAAGTTCATGTATTATTAGAATATCCACAGTTCCATGTTTTTAGAAAACAGCTTATAAATATATATTTTTGGAAAACACCAAATATACCAACATTTATTGAATTGTAAACAAGATGAAAATATTATAAGAAAATTATCAATGTTTATCTTTATAGTATGTAAGTATATACTCATGGGTATAACACCCACATGAATATTGTAAGAAAATCTAAATCTAGAACTTAAACAAGAACATACCACAATAACGGACACAAAGAATGTTTGTTTGTTATATTTATACTTTAAATTTGGATATAATTCTTCCTCGATCACAACCTGTCCATTTGGCATTACATAGCCAACTGTTCGATTCTCCAAACCTGTCTGTGTCCACACCGTTGTTGTCAGTTTGTATCCTTCACAATAAATATATTCTGGCGATGAAACCTGTGAGATGATAATACATAGAACAGTAAGATGTCAGTTATAAGTTTCATTAATTATTTTCATAAATTAGCAGACTATTTGGCTCAAAGGTCCAATGTTTCGTTTTAAGTATTTTAACTTTTATGCATTTTATGCCAGCATTGGATAAAAAATATCTCTAAGTCGGCTGCTAAGTAGAAATAAATATTCATTTTTTTAAAAAAAGGAACACACGGCAAAAAAATTGAAGTTTTGCGGATTGACTGAAATTGCCTGAACGCTAATACAAATAATCAGCAATAGCATGAATCATGCTCCCTTCTACCGTCAAAACAACGATCTTGGTAAATATTTACATGTGCATAATTATGCTAACCTTTTCAATAGTTTGAACTATTTCTGTCTTTGTCATACCTTCATATTTATCAATTAAGGCACTTGTCAATAAAGGCAGAAAAATCTAAAATGAAAATGGAACACGTTTTTAAAATTGATAATGGAGATGGCAGTAAGCTTGCAATACATTGTAGAAGTTGTATCAATTTTATAGCAAATAATGTCTTTACCGAGAATGTGAAATAAATATAGCACACAATACTGCAAGTCTTGAGTCATACTGATACTATGTTATTCTACAATAATTATTTTAGATGTTTTGTTATGAATCTTTAAATAAATGGTTTAAACAAAGCATATTGCATTTCGTTATTTTTTTAACCAGTCATTCTTAATTAGCTAGCGAACAAAATGTGTTTACAAAATCTATAACGCTTCTTTCAATATTAATAATCTTACTTTTCCATTATTCGGGTCATTTTCTGGTACTGGAACAACTAAAACATTATGTAGTTTTGTTGTTCGGAGGGATGTCTTCGATTTGCCATACAACACAAATAACCAACGAGACAAACTGCCTAAGAACGTGCGATTGTTGTTGTATACGCTATCAAATTCATTTGCCTTTTTTCGAAAGACAAAGAAAAGTTTTCAACTACTATTTGCAGGTTATTTTAAACATGTATGTTTTATTTATGTAAATACATGTCTGTCAAATAATTCAAGGATACATTATGCAAAAACCACTGTCATATAATATTATGTCAAAGTGGATTTTTAAAAATGCTTATTAATTAAAACCGATATAAAATGCATAAATCGTAAAATGTAATTACATAAAACACACAGACAAATCATTAAAATCTAAATACAAAAGGGAAACTCTAAAAGTACAAATTTATTCATACTTGCAAAATAACTTTGCTTGCACATTTGTGTCGACACAGAACTATCATATTAAAGAAAACAATAGTATTCAATTGTGGCTTAAACATGGTTCGCTCTATGGTTAGGTCAATAAAGAGCTTATGGAGGTCGTTGGTATGGTAAATAACACTTAGTATTCCCTTTATGGACAGACTGTCTATTACAGATGACATTTCAAAAACTGAAAAGGAAACACAGATGATTTATTATGATATTTGTTTGCTAATATACCTTTCAACAAAGAGGAAAATGTTGTATTGAATAAAACATTCGGCATGGTATCAGAAAAACAATATATTTATAGCTGTACAAAAATACAACCCTCTGGACCATAATTATTAAGAACTTACCTTCTGTAGTTGTTTGGAGTGAAATATAAGTTTTATGCCGGCAAACTGTATCAAAATTTTGAAAAATTGAGGCAGATTATAAATAATATTTTTCTTGGTATTGCTATAAGTATTGGTCTTAAGCAGAACTGTAATACTTTGAATATTAATTTGCCATGTCTTACTATATGTATTTATGTTTAGTGAAATCGATGTCGTAACATAATCATGATTAAATGATTTGCATCAATTAAGAAATATGACTAGACTGATACCCACTTTTTAGTACTAAATGCAGCAGGTCATTAAAAAATTAAAAAATAAATAAATAAAATTAAACAGAAAATAAAAAGATGAATTTTGTGCTAACTGGTGTTTCTTTTCCGACAATTTATTTTTTCAACTCACCAGTTATCATAAAAGAATAAAAGTTATTCCTTTCTTAATACCCCCTGCCTCCATAACACCCACACGAAAAGAAAACGACAACAACAAAAGAAAATCGCAAAAATAAAAATCAAACACAAAAAGCAAACAACCAACAAAAAACCCAGCTTCGTCGGCATCAAAAAAACAAATATACCTACAATTTGACCTATTTTATCTTAATATGGAACTCAATACCTGTTGACTCCTCGTATATAATAATAGCATTTTTCCATTGTAGATGGTCAATGAGTTGAGAAACAACCGCTGGACCATTGAACAGTGTGCCAGTAACAAGAGACTTGTCTCCGCTTGTCTTTGTACTTCTGGTATTTTCCAACTCTCTGACGTGTGGTTCATACTTGCCGACACATTCTGATGGCTTGATATCACTTATAGATTGAACCTAAAATTACACACATTATATATTATTAAATACATTTTGTAACAATTTAAAATCTACAGGGACATTGCTCGGCAATGCATACTCATTTTAAATGGCATTCACTAATTAAAAAAATAAAATATTTAAAAAATACTTTCATGTGCACTATGTCGAGTAATTTGCATTGATAATTAATTGCTGTTAAAAGGAAATTCAACAGCCACTAACCTTTTCACATTCATAATTTATAGATTGATATCTAAATTGGGTTATGTTTTTAAAATATTTGGAGTATTACGTGAGTTATGATTTTGAATGTTACCAGATTACCGTTTGTAATGGTGGTATTATAGAACTGTTTCGGAAGCCCCATATAATCAGTCGTTTGTTGAAAGTTTGTAACAGTAACTTCTTTTTGTCAAAAAATGAAGGTGTCTGTAATAGCACGATCACATCTATTGAGGCACCCCTGTCAAGTTGAAAAACTGCAAAAGTAAGGAATCGAACCAAAAGTCCGTGTAAACCATTATAAATAATTAAAAAAATAACTTTTACATAACTTCGGTAATACTAGCGTTAAATAAAAATGATAAAAAATATATGCCATCAGTTTAGTTTCTTTGATTGTTTTGTTTTGTACCCTTATTTCTACGCATTCTTTTGGCATTGCTGGGACAAACGGCTTTCCTATTTTATCTTACAATTATTAAACAAGTAGAGATTTTGATGCTAAAGAATCAAGTCGCCGGATAGAAATATGATTGTATTATCATAATAAATAAAAGAAAATATCAGTTTAATGGTTCGAGTATAAAGAAAAGAAGAACAATAAGTTGAGTAATGTTTATTCAGAAACACGTTTTCACGTACTTGCCACAATTATATCTTTCTTGCTATAAACTTTGTAAAAGAGTTTTATGCAATAAATTCATGTTATGTTATAATAAAACATCATATTTGAAGCAAACTTGCTTAGCAATTTTGTCAAGAAACTGTTAAAGCAAGTACTGTTTGGCAATATTTACCCGAGACTCAATAATTGTCGGGAGCTGTTCGTTAGCTTACATAACTTATTATGATTAATGTTAACGCTTTCATTGTAAGTATAATTACATGTATAATTATATCAATTAATACTGCTTGGTGGCCTAGTGGTAAGTTGTAACCTAAATATATGTTGGCGCAAGTTCGAATCTTGGACAAATCCTGTGTGTAGTTTTCATACATTGATTTTTATTATATCTTTTAACTTTATGAAACATAAGTTGATAAATCGTGTGTTTCATTTCTAGCACTTATTTTATTTCATAATTTTGATAAATGGTCAAGTTTTGCAAAATACAAAAAGTACTATAAAAGAAAACATAAAAAATCACTTTATCGAACCTACAGTCTTCAATTTGAAACTAACTTAAAATCTAACACCTTGTCATCGAGGCTTGTAAAGCAAGTGATATGATTATAATTCTACTTTTAATTCTACTTTATACATATACCGTTGTACCATACTGAATCCGATAATTACCGACAAATTATTACCGATCATCGAATATTTGCAAAGTGACCATGAAAATATATATGCTTAATTATTGCATAAAACAATGCAATTCTACTGTAAAAGTGGTGTCTGCATAAAAAAAATATTCTTATGCACTATCGAAAAAATATATTATTTAGCTGAAATCAATATTCCTGTCGTTACTATATAGTTAACGTTTAATTGCCTTCCAGTGCGATAAACTATCAACACAAAGATAGTTTATTAGTTTTCTCTGTGTATCCAATACGATTCCGGCCCCTACTGTCATACCGAGATTTTTCATACAAAATTACTTTGATTTGCACTTTTATCAGCTGCCAACCATTCACAAGTTACCTGTATGTCTGTCTTATCAGCCATTTGTTACTATTAATAGATTTTATAACAATAACATACAACGTGTAGTCACGTGATTCTGGGAGAAGCTGTTTATAATAAATAAGATAAAAAAAATAGAATAGGTCTCATAACGTACAAACAACCAGATAATTTAAAAGTGTCATTTCAAATATCATGCATGATTTATTTATCATAAAATAGCAACGCTTTACACTTTGAAAAAAAGGAAAAACATCCCTAAATTCAATGACTTATCCATAGGGATACGTCATTAATTCAATTTATAAAAATTGTAATGTTGCTTTTTACGATGTCAATACTTAAATATTTCATTTCATTGAGCAAGATTATTGTATGTTTGAATTTTTGAGATTACTGAAAACAGTTGTAGTCTTTAATTGTTCAGTAATTGTTGTGCTTTTATTTACAGATTTTAATGCCTTCTCCTACCATAGGTATAATATTAAACTGTTACAAATATAGTCGCCGGTTTCTACCGGCGACTAATAACCAATTACTCCGCACTGCATATCCGAAGAAACGGGACCAGGATCTGTCCTGTTCGCTGCTTAATCTTTGGAAATTGAAACGTATCCCTTAAATTTTTAATAAACGGAACCAAAAACGACTTTACATAAATCCATCATAAATGTATCATAAAACCATCATTCAATTTATTTCGTAAAATTGTTTTGTAATACTTGGTGCTTTCTGTTTTTCATGACTTATTTTTGTTACGATATTATACTTCTTACCTGTTTTCCTAAGATCAATTATATTCTCTATTTCACTGGGATAATAATTAATTGATACTCCATCTTGAATATTTACTTCGTTTGTTTTGTTTGAAACTCCATACTGCTTTCTACATATGGCACCTTAAATGAAATATATTTGAGCCGTGTCACGACAAAACCAACAAAGTGGGTTTGCGACAAGCATGGATCCAGACCAGCCTGCGCATCCGCGTAGTCTGATCAGGACCCATGCTGTTCGCTTACCAACTCTATTACAAGTGGAGAAACTGACAGCGAACAGCATGGATCCTGATCAGACTGCACGGAGGCGCAGTCTGGTCTGGATCTATGCTGGTCGCAAACCCACTATGTTGGTTTTGTCATGACGCGGCTCATATGAGGACTTATCCATAAAAAACTAATCACATTTTAATTTTTTTTTAAGGTGTTATATGTGTAATTGACAATGTTTCAAAAGCCATTAAAAACTTTACATTATTAAACTTATCATATTCTTGACACAAATATAAAAAATAACAAAAGTTTACCGTCTTGCTTGTAAAATGTTCAATTTAAAATTTAAACATTTTAAATATTAATATGAAATTAAACATTTGTATCAGTTTAAAAAAACAGTAACAGCAAATATGTTTCATTTCATTTGTTTCAGTTTAAGAAGAGTTTTACTTATTAATTTTCATCTGACTTTAGAAGTGGTAAGAAACACTAATAGATTTAATATAAAAAAGAATCAAAACAAAAGAAAAGTATATCTAAAATAAAATTGGTAAATTGTACCAGCTACGTGTCGGATTTTATAAAAAAAAGGCAGAGTGTGGGAGGTAATAAGAAATTTATTTTCTATAAATTCTAAGTCAAATTTTCCATTAAGAAATGAATGCATATGATTTATTGATTAAATATAATGTGCACAAATATTTGCAGTACACATTTTACATATTTTTCGATGTTTGAAAATTGTTTTATTTGCATAATTATATACATATATAAATTTTTGCAAGTGTGGTATACACACAGTAACAATATCATTCACAAAACATACAGGCTCTTTAATCACCATTAATCACCATAATAAGAACAAAAACGCTTACCAATTACAAACTCCAATGCTTGCACGTATGAAATTAAAATAACCAGTATCCATGATATAACAAAAATATGTCTAATTAATGTGCCAAACATTGGTTCTATGTTCTGCTATAAGTCCAATGTGATTACTTCAAAAGTCAGTAAATATTTTTTCCATATGCTTATACTAACATATTTATTTGCTAAAAAATAAGATGTTTGGTATCCATTTCATCGGGAGTTTATACTACCAAAGGTACCAATAAATTTCTTTGGTCCCTATCAATACCCGATACTTCAAATTTTAAAATCGATTTTAAAATTTAAAGATCGATCATAAAATCGATTGACCAATTCAAAAAACAGAGCCTGATGTGAACCGCCTTTAAGGCAGCAATTTTGAATTTGTCTTTCGTTAGAACCAGTGAGTATATATGCAGCTGTGACAGGCAGGTGTAGTAGGGGCAACATTGTCCTATGGCACATCTCTAGTTAACTATGAAAATTCATATATATAGTGTAATCTGATTGGTTAATGATATGTGCATACGACCTAATTATCTCGTTTGCACCACATAATAATACGCGACATAGCATCTCGTGCGCACCACTTATCTCATGCGCACGACTAACCAACTCGTGCGCACCACTTTAATATCTTGTGCGCACCACTTAGCAACTCGTGCACACGACATAGTATCTCGTGCACTCACGGTGCACACCTCTTAATTACCTCGTGAGCACGACTGAAAATACTTTTTTCGAGAAATTCTTAAACCATTTTATGAAAAACTATACCAAAAATTTTAGATCATTCGCTTACTCTGTTTATCCAGGATAATTTCTATCGCGCAAAATGTCATAAAAAAGAAAAGAGTTGAAGCACGAAATCGACTAAGGATTGAACATAACATCAATTTTTAATTCTGAGTATATATCTTTATTATATATTTCATATTTTTCTGTTTTATGTGCCCTAGTTGATCTATGTGAGATTTTCAAAGATTTTTTAAATTTTACTTTTGGAACTCAATGGAAATGCTTATTTTTACATGAAATGGAACCTGTATCTAAGAATGTCATAAAGAACAAAATATTGTCAGTTGGTTTCCGACATTAATTTGAATATAACATAAAATACAAAGTTATATTTCAAAGAATTTTTCAACGTCTGACATTCCAAGGAGGGGAACAGAATTATTATAAAATAATTCAATAACATATTCAATTACTCATGACTCATATAACACAAATATTACATCCATAGTTCTTTGATTTATATTCACTTTGGTTGTTACATTTGTACATTAAAACTATTTTGAATATTTACTCTGGCTTTTTTCGTTATGATAAAAACATACTTTTGATAGCCCCCGTTTTAATTCAATCAGAATAAATGGAGTTGATTGAGGTGAATTAGATTTGCAAGATATCGTCAAATGCATGTCTCATTCCTTCATTTGTCTGATGTAATTAATTTCAGTTCATTAAAAATTGATTGTTTAATGCTTAAAATTAAACCCAGAATTATTAATCGACACAAATTCATTTGAATGTGGATTGTTATATATTTTGATAGTTTATCAATACACCAGATAAATTGACTTTATGAAGAGAATTTTAATAGCACTTAATTGAAATACGTTCTGACTTTGGATCGTGAAATATTTAGTACGGGAAATTGATTGGGATTCAATTTAATTATTTTTTTACAGTTACATATTCATGTACTTTCAATATCTGTAATTCAGCAGCAATTTCAGGACATTAAATATTTGTCCTACAGCTCAGTGTTTCTTTGATTAGTTTAAGCAGATGTTGTGCGCACTACTAATGCTTTTCTATTCAGGTCCAGCCAGTCCAGCTCGGGTTTTTCTTTACCACATTGTATCAACTACATGAGAGTTACAGAAATATCAGTAAAAACAGTACCTGTTTTGTTATTTGGTATGAATAATACAACTCGTACTGGCTTGTTCCTTCCTTTGTATGCGTCCGAAAATAAATCGATGTATATTGTTATGCACCTTGTCGTCCGGCCGTCTGTTAGCAGGTTTCGTGTTCGGTCTGTATCTTTTAAAACGATGGAAAGAAATTGAAACTACTTGCCAGTAATGCTAACCATAATGAGACGATGAGCAGAGCACATGTTTGACCTTCCACATGTCAAGGTCAAGATCACACTTAATCATTTTGTATCAATTACAAAATTTCGTGTCCAATCTGTTGAACAGTGTGAAACTACAAAGCCCAGATTTGGCAAGTAGCACCAATGGTTTTAGAACTTCTTTTACGGTCTGTATCAAACATTTGTAACTTTAACTTCGTCAATATCGAGACTAAACGTTTTGATGTTTACAGTTACAATCAATGCAAAATATATATCTTACTGATGGTAAGTTAGAGGTGGAAACAACTGACGTACCATTCAACCTTGTTACCGTTTTTTTTTTACCCGGACATTATCAAATTATTCCACGTTACAATACATTGTATTTGCATTTATATTTTATATGAACTTTATGTATTTGTTGTACATTACGTAAATCTGCAGTACGTAACAAAATTCGACAATTAATACGGACGAATAACTGCAGCTGTAAAAGTAGTTTTATTAGTAATGCCATGTAGTGACTAGTTTAAAAATGGTTTGTATGGTTAGTATCTAACACAAGGCAGTCGAAGGACGAACAAAAAACATAAAAGACTGTATCTTGTTTTCCTGATATGGTTTACATTATTTTTTTTACTTCAAATATAAAGAGAATATTATAAGTTCGTAAAATTATGGATTAAATACAATGTACTTTGCTCCCGTCAAACAAAAATACACCCTGCAAAGAAGTCATTTGAAATGGGCATGTCGATAGCAGAATGAACATTTCCTTGGAATTTCCCGACAAAATTAAGTCCAGGCTTTGTCCTGTCAAATCATTTTAAAGAATCTTGTGTGAGATTCCGTTCTGATTATTTAGTTTAGTTTTTCTCAACAAAAAATGATCTCAAACGTACTATAAAACTTAAAAATAATACCATTTTGACTTATTTCAACGACTTGTCAGTTCTTAACGACTTTGTGATCAAACTTTAATGTTTTGATATCGGCATTGTCATTTCCCAACATTAAAATGGCCTTAACTCAGTTCTCAACGTTAAAAGTCTAATGTTTCATCGGATACATCAACTAAATTTCGCCAATGCGATTTGCATGGGAAAGTAAGCAAACGTAACATGCGACATGTCACAATGATTGTGAGATGTCGCGAAACCTTATTTCTTATTTCTTAAACGGAAAACTATTTCTTGCACATAGTTCCTATTGATTCTTTGACAGAAGTACAATTTTCCAATATCCGGTTAAACTGTAACATTTGAAGCTCAGAACTTAATACAATAGATCTAACATTGGAACAAATGAACGGTCAAAATAAGGTCCTTTTTTGGCAGTAATTGTAATAAGTAGATAGTGTACCATAACGACCACAACTAAGCGAGGATAATGATAAGCTTCTAGGAATGAACTTAACAAGCATCTTTATACATGTATGTCAAAAAAGAAATAGAAACTATAAAGTGAAAACAGCAACACGTTTTGGTTTCTTTCTTTGCACGTTTTCAGTAGATATGACAGCATAAAATCACAATTATGATCAATGGAATATATGGTGATGATAAATCTATACATCAAGTCATGTTTGGTAACACATTTAATAAATAGAAAGTTCAATTCACATCTTGTATTGGTCAACTGGAAATATCGCCAATTACTTATAGACCTATCTTAAAACTGTCGTGTTCTTCAATAAATCATTTGTTGCTAATGTACATCTTTTTGCTATGTCGCCAGCCAGGTTATTTTGTATCTTTTTGAATTTTCATTTAATTTTTGCCTTATATTTTTGTCATAAATAAAAATTGTTTAGTCCTGTTTTCCTGATCCTTTTCTAATAATTCTAACATTTTCTTAAATATAGTCTTAAACTAGGTTAAACGCGTTTTCTCTTTTAAATAATTCAGTCTTTTCTTGCACGCACATGTCTCTGTATCGATGATGGTCTAATCTTTGAAATGAGGATTTCTGCCCCAAACACAATTGCACTTAAAGCTAGTCCACCTGAGGAAAAAATATATTTCTATAATATCAACAGATTCTCGGTCTATAGTAACGTAATTCAGTATCTTTAATAAACGCCTTTAAAGAAAAATAGACTTATTTGCCGCCAAGCTCTTTGAATGTTAAATGCAACAATTATAAAACCATATCAACAGCACCGAGGCAGCGCTACTTGAACATCCATAGTGTGATTTATTGGCTGACAAATCTATTATGTCGATGAACATATATGGTATAAACAATTTTCTATTGTAAGCAAGGGAAGTGTATTTATTAAATTTAGTATAATCACAATTAAGTGAGATTTTAACTCTTTTCTAAATGTATGATATTACCGGCGGCAACATAGAAAGCACTTTGTACATGTTTCAATCTCAATTGTTTCGCCTCTGCTTTTGTTGTTTCGTCGCTGCATTGTTGTTTCTTCGATTGCCACCACTTCTTTTTCAAGACTTTTATCAAACCGGAGCTATACATTTGCGACAACCTGACAATATTTAAAGAATAATATAAGATACAATATTTGTGGATATAACCAAACAGGTTACTAGTATTACACATTAGTTGATCTTTGTGACAAAAAAAATAACAAAACTAATGTTGTTTCCCAATGTATGTTCATAATAATGTATTACATTTGTCATATCATACAAAAAATATTTTAAATTTTTGACATATCGCTCACATTGTTGCGACATATAATTACTAAATACAATATATGTGTACAATTATCAAAGAAATAAATGTTTGACATTAAAAACTGTTTTAATACCTATCAGCAAATATTTTTACATGAGGGGAATTGTCAGGAAAACCAAATGCTTCGGTAAGCGTTATAAATCTTTCTCGTATCTTAGTTAGTCGACAGTCATTTGCTATTGCTTTAGTTATGGAACCATCGTCACCGATAAACGCATAATTGTCTTCATTTTTAACCTATAAATAAATATTAATACTTTTTTCTGCTACTTAGTTGGTATTAGATTAGCATCATTCATACATAAAATAATATAATACATAAAATAATAAATCAAAACCGTTTTATTTTACATATGTTTCAAATTTGATCTCATTTGGCAATGTCTCTTGAGATGAAAAATGCCACTTTTTTGAACATAACATAACATAACATGATACTTCAGAATACAAACTGAAACAAAATACTTACTTTATTGATGTGATAGGCATTGTTGGTGTTAAGTATACCTGGATCTGTTTCATTAAACCGTCTAATTGCTTCACCTATTGCTTTGAAATTCGGAACAGTGGATGTCTATAAATATAAAATACATTTTGTAATTCATTTGACAATCATGGTGGTCTTTTATCTTTTTCTACTTCATAAATATATTTCTTGGCTTGAAATATCACTTTTTGGTATTAAGTAAAGATAACACCGACACATGACGGTGAATCAATCTGAATTTGTATTTGATAGTGATATAAAAAACAAAGTGGGAAAAATATAAATATAATTTAAACCCAGTGTTGATTTAAACACGTATCATTTTACCTAATCATTTGACGTATAATTACCATGAATTTCTGTTCCCAGAGTGTTCCACCTATTGTTCCCCACGTGTATCTATCAGATTGTTGGAGCATTTCACTCAACGAATTAAATGGTTTAATTTCTTTAACTACAGACAAGCAAGCTATGAGATTTCCGCAGTACGTTCCATAGATTACCAAACAAAACAAACACCATCCACAGAAGAATGTCCTGCCAGTTATCGACTTAGGCTCATGGTCAGCAGTATGGCCTTCACAAATAAGTATAAAATTATAAAAAAGATACATTAGACAAAATGTTTGAAATATCTTAAATTATAATCTAAATTAAAATCAGAGAGATGTAACAGATTTCTGTTTCAGTTTAAAGTGTATTAAGCTATATTCACTAGCTGTGGATTATAAAGTTATCGGTCATAAAATTGATTACAAAATAGCTTGAAAGACAGAAATTTATTAGTATGTTTAATTGATAGCGAGTATGGTATGAGTAGAATATGAGAACTATACTGTCAAAAGGGAGCTTTACTGTATTATAAATCCTCCCAAATCAAACATTATTGATGTTTTTTTGAAATTTAAAGAACACTCGGGGAAAAACAAAACTTTGATGTAAAAATTTTCAATCATATAGAATAATAGAAATATATTCCAAAGAATTTCACCATGTTATGTGGTATATGCCAAGGTCACGTGTTCTTACCTTCATTCAATAAAATCAAACCCAGACCAGAAATAGACCCATAAAATGACATGAATCCGCATCTGTTCTTCAAACAATTGTGAACAGATGGATGTGACTTTAACGCAGTTGTATAGTACGGGTTGTAACGTTCCAAGATCATCATAATAATGGACCCAAGTAAAAGTGTGGCGATGACAAGTACATAAACCTGCCACTGAAAAATAAACGAAGATTAATCATGAGCATGGTCAACGACAAGAAACAAGCAATTTAATTTTCACCTTTTCACCTGAATGAGTTGGTGGTGGTGGTGGTAGTGGTGGTAGTTTAAACTCGGCAGCAACCCGCCCTGTTGCACAGCTTCTTTACGAATTGATTCTGCAAACGCTGATGATGAATCAAACTGTCACTAATCAATTCAATCAAGTTAGATAGAAAAATATAAACGTTGAAGAAGAAGAAATGATGTTAATAGTTTATTTATTTGATATGATATACTATTTTAACACGACAGACTACTGTTGTTAGCACACCTGAATATACAGTCGACATTTATTTTTCTCTCGCATATACTGAGTACATTTAGATTTACAACTATATGTTCAAATATAGACAAACCTTCAAGGGATCGGCTAGTTTTCGCCAGTTGTTGTTTTCATTACTCAATCGTTTAAGAAGTACAGTGCTAAAGCCAAAGTAAAATGGGAATGTGAAATCCATGACCATTTCTCGGTCGTTTGTTATTGCAATATCACCTACAACCATATCAACTTCCTGTAAACAAATGAAACGATTCGATGTATTCTTTTGTTCAGAATGTCAAAACGTAAATTATCATTTTACCAAAATAGTGTTTGTTATAAAGTTTTTCATATCAGAAGGCAATCAACATTCGTAGCTAGAAATCGTTTGGGTTCAAGAACTTACTTCTTGGTTAGTATAAGCAAGGAATGTCTATCAACTAGAACTGTATTGAAATCGAAAATTGGCAAAATATTTACTTAAAGCCTGCCAAAAAAACATAAGAAACATGTTTTGATCATAATAGCACACAGGATATGGTAATTAAGATATTGCCCACTGCTGCTCAAATCTTGATAACAGCATTACAGGGCTGTTATTGTTCATAATATGTATTGATATATTCACATCATTTTTAATATAAATTATGAGTATTAAAATTGTTCATATGTTCTGTTATTGAAAATGGAATTAATGCTATTTATGAATGTGTATATAGTCGCTGATAATTCGTACGTCGCACAAAATCGTTTTCAAATTTCCCAATTACTTATTTACAACTTACAAAAAGCTACACCATCATTTAGTACATATTTACATGTTACTTTTAAAGTCACGGTTTCTCTTATAAGAAACAATTTAAACAAAGGTTAAAGATAAAAAACTGTAGATATAGTAGTAAATGTTCGTGCCTTTCTTTGGACTTGTCCAATTAGACCATTGAATGCCATCGTAGTTTTGTTCACAACCATTCCGTAATTACCATCTGGTACCTCAGATAACTGATACCTAAAACAATAATCTAGACGATAAAGGAAAATGATTAGAAAGTTCTAATGATGTGTTCAATTTAAAGTCCGATGGATGATTATCAGCTTTCTTGCGTTTTCAATTTTCAAAGGTTCCTGGATAAAAAAGAAAACGATTATATTAAACTGAAAATAATGCATTCATTTCTCTTGTTTTCATGTTACATGTAAGAATTAAAGATAAACTTTCAAATAAAAGTTTTCAACAAATTCTAAAGGCAGGTTATTTCAATTTAAATAAAAGTAACAGAATGGCATCATGTTATGAATTGATTTAAAATAGTTGAAGAAGAACTTGAAGGTCGGAATCTTGAAAATCTTACAGATAAAACAGCATGCCCCGCCTCCACTTTATTACCTTAGTTATTGATTACATACATGTATACAGATAACGAATAAAAACTTAAAAATTTTGTATGTTGTAATTAAGAATGAACAAAACTTAAGTGGAATTTTATATATGTATATAATTATTCTTCTAAAACAATTTCCAATCATCCAAGAATATATTGAATATGTACTGCAAATGTTTATATGCATTATAAGTAATCTTTAAAATATATGCATACATTCTTATTGAAAATTTTGGCTAAGACTTTATCGAAAACATATTTCTAATTACATCTCTTTATTTACATGAAATGTAAAATCGGTAATATCTTTGAAAATAATGCTTTTTTGGAACTTAAAATATTGATAAAATCTTCATTTGCGCATCATATTTGTGGTATAAAACCATAAAAATTGAGTTACAGAATCTTTAGTCATAATTTCTATTCTGGATGTACAGTCGTGTCGTGCAGGAAAATAAAAATACTTACATAAGCTCTTTTCAATATTTCTCAACTTAATATCGACTTAAAGAGGGATGAAGGAAAAATAATACGTACGTAAAATTGAGAGTTTCGGCCAGATCAGAGAGGATATCAATACAAAACCCCGTTAACTTTGTTACACCGTTTACCGTTTGCTTGATAATAAATGGCGGATACTGTAAAAATAGTGTGTATTAAGCATTAATGTATTATCAAAATAGATTTACGCAAGTGTTGAAAGTAATTTAAAAATTTTACCTTACACACTTTGATCTTACATAAAAGATATTGTATTTTATACATAGATATTTAAGTAGTAATGTTAAAAACCAATGATGTTCCTTTACCGTTATATAAAAGATACTTAGAATTATGCATACATATCTAAAATTGTATGTTGAAAAGCAATTTTTAAATCCCTTGATCAAACATAAACGTCCTTGTTGGAACTCGATAATTACTGCTTGATATATTTGTAATTTAATAGTTTTTACGATAAGTTACATGATAACAATTATTATATATAATTTACATTTGAAAACTGTTTGTGTCTTCGAGCCGAATCGAATAATTTGTACATCACTTTAATCAATATTTTAGTTATACCATTCTGTAAAATGTATTGTATTGAATGACTCAAACAGGAACATACCACGATCACCGACACAAAGAACGTTTGTTTGTTATATTTATACTTTAAATTTGGGTATAAATCTTCCTCGATCACAACTTGTCCAGTTGGCATTACATAGCCAACTGTTCGATTCTGCAAACCTGTTTGTGTCCACACCGTTGTTGTCAGGTTACACCCTTCACAATAAATATATTCTGGCGATGAAACCTATAATATTAGCATTGAGGAAGTAAAGAAATTGTTTTAAGAAGTAACAAATTAAGATTAATATATGACATTTTATGGTTATCTCTCACAGAAATGAATATTATCTGCGCAGTAAAGCAGTGATGAATGTTAATACGGTGAAATTGAAATGTTGCAGGTCTAAAACTGAAAGATCTGTTTATTAATTGGAAAACAATATGGTTTCTACCTTCCATCACAATGACACCGACCTAAGAGGATTTGTCAAAGAAATATTTGAAATATCAGTTTCATAAAACTTATTTGTACATTAAGAGATAGATAGAAAATAACCTTTTCAATAACGTGGACTATTTCTGTCTTTGTCATACCTTCATCATTATCAATTAAGTTCCTTGACAGTAAAGATAGAAAGGTCTGAAAACAAGACAATCATTGATGAAGGAAAAGACCTTAAAGCTTCAGTATATTGTGGAATATTTATATATTTTGCAGCAGACGATTCCACTACAGAGAGTAAATTGACAAAACAAACAATGTTCAATAGCTTATTCAAACTATCCATGCATTTTTCATTATATAAACTTTTAAAACATTTATTCTGAATCAGCTGGCATATTCATTGAATAAAAAAGAAAATGGATTGTTTTAAAAGCACATAATCGACGTAATACTGTAACTGATTACCTTTCTATTACCCGAGTCAATTTCCGGTATATGAACAACTAAAACATGATGGAGTTTTGTAGATTGGAGGAACGCCTGTGATTTGCCATACAACACAAATAACCAACGAGACAAACTACTTAAGAACGTGCGATTGTTGTTGTATACACCATCAAACTCATTTGCCTTTTCGAAAGAATGAATTGTAATGTTTTCAATTATTGTATGTAGTCTGTAAACATGTACTTTAAAGATGAGTCAATTAAAACCGAAATAAAGAGGCAATTCATAAAATTTACAAACAAAAAGCATTTGTGCAAGAATTTGTAACTACTCGTTAGGAAAAGAAATATATCAAGCTTTAACGGACCATCTTGAGATTAAAGTAATACATACTTGCGCAATAACCTTGCTTGCACATTTGTATCGACATAGAACTATCATGTTAAAACAAACAATGGTCTTCCATTGTGGCTTAAACATTGTCCTTTGTACTGTTAAGTCAATAAAAAGCTTATGGAGGTCATTGACATGGTATAAGACGCTCATTATTCCTTTTTTAGACAGGATGCCAATCAAAGACGACATTTCAAAGACTGAAAAAGAAGCAAAACATCATCAAATTAGTTTTATATAATGTTTTCTTCTGCCAACAATTCAGAAAATGATAAATGGTAACTGTTACATCTATTTTTTCTTATTCACGAAATATATAATTCATGTATACATGTATAAGTATGATTAATGTATATTAAAACGAGTTTTAACGACAAGTTTAAATCATAGATTTACATTGGTTGAGAAGGCAATGCTTTTCAGAAGAATTCTAATTGTGTGCATACTTTTAGACGTTGCAGAACATTGGCATCTTCTAAAGAAGTGATACTGAATAAAAACGATCATATTGAGATTTAGTTAAATCGAATGATTACTCGTTTCTTTTTTGTAATATAACTGCTTGATACAACTGTATACATAGTATATTAAATGGTGGAAAGTTTGAACTATACACTTCATTTCAGTAAATACTAATTAAACAGCATGCTCAAAAACATCATGATTAAAAATGATCAAGAAACATTTTAGGCACATGACCCTACTTATACCTCCAGATTTAGTGCCAACGATGACAAACAAGAGGGCCATGATGGCCCTGGGGTCGCTCACCTGAACATAGGCCCTCAGGGCCGGGCCAGTTTAAACCAAAGGGCTTTTATTTGAACTAACTTGGAAGACACCCATTAGAAGATATTTCATGATGTTAAGTTTTTACTATACACAAATAATGAATAACAATGATTTTTGCCCCCTCCCACCTCTCCCTGGCAGGGCCAATTTTGACCCAATGGCTTTTATTTGAACAAACTTGGTAAACATCCATTAGAACATGTTTCATGCTAAATATCTTAGCTCTAGCTCTTTTGGTTTTTTAATAGAAGATTTTTAACTTTTTACTCTATGTATATAGGGAAAATCAATAACCCCTGGGACAGGGCCAATTTTGACCCCAGAGCTTTTATTTGAACAAATTTGGTAGACACCCATTAGAATATGTTTCATGCTAAATATCTTAGCTCTAGCTCTTTGGGTTCTTTAAAAGAATTTTTTTTAAGTTTTTACTATATGCACATAGGGAAAATCAATGACCCCCTGGGGCTGGGCCAATTTTGACCCCAGGGCTTTTATTTGAACAAACTTGGTAGACATCCATTAGAACATGTTTTACGCCAAATATCTAAGCTCTAGCTCTTTGGGTTTTTTAGAAGAAGACTTTATTAAGTTTTTACTATATGCATATAGGGAAAATCAATGACCCCCTGGAGCGGGGCCAATTTTGACCCCAGGGCTTTTATTTGAACAATCTTGGTAGACACTTATTAGAAGATGTTTCATGCTTAATATCTTAGGTCTAGCTCTTTGGGTTCTTTAAAAGAAGATTTTTTTAAGTTTTTACTATATGCATATAGGAAAAATCAATGACCCCTGGGGCGGGGCCAATTTTGACCCCAGGGCTTTTATTTGAACAATTTTGGTAGTCACTTATTAGAAGATGTTTCATGCTTAATATCTTAGGTCTAGCTCTTTTGGTTCTTTAAAAGAAGATTTTTTAAAGTTTTTACTATATGCATATAGGGAAAATCAATGACCCCCTGGGGCGGGGCCAATTTTGACCCCAGGGCTTTTATTTGAACAAACTTGGTAGACATCCATTAGAACATGTTTAATGCCAAATATCTAAGCTCTAGCTCTTTGGGTTTTTTAGAAGAAGATTTTTTTAAGTTTTTACTATATGCATATTAGGAAAATCAATGACCCCCTGGAGCGGGGCCAATTTTGACCCCAGGGCTTTTATTTGAACAATCTTGGTAGACACTCATTAGAAGATGTTTCATGCTTAATATCTTAGGTCTAGCTCTTTGGGTTCTTTAAAAGAAGATTTTTTTAAGTTTTTACTATATGCATATAGGGAAAATCAATGACCCCTGGGGCGGGGCCAATTTTGACCCCAGGGCTTTTATTTGAACAATCTTGGTAGACACTCACTAGAAGATGTTTCATACCAAATATCTAAGCTCTAGCTCTTTGGGTTTTCTAGAAGAAGACGTTTAAAGTTTTTTCTTTCGGTTGCCATGGCAACCAGAGTTCTGCATGGAATGGAATTCTTTGAACAACTTTGTTAAGGCTTCACACAAGGAACATCCCTGTGAAGTTTCATTATGATCTGCCTTATGGTTTCAGAGGAGATGTTGTTTGAAAAGTGTGAACGGACAACGGACGACGTACGACGTACGACGGACGACGGACACCGGACGACGGACGACGGACAAAGAGTGATCCTAATAGCTCACCCTGAGCATATGCTCAGGTGAGCTAAAAACAACGTGGAAACAGACACCATGTAAAAACTACAAATTTAGACAGTGTCCTTTGTGTCCATAATAAAAAAGACTGCAATTGTGACATTTACTCGCTTTAGAGATGGATCGAATGTCGAAAATGGAAAAAAAAACTTCTGCGCTTCTTAGCGTTAAAGGTAAAAGGACAACTATAGTAAGTGAACCTTTTTTTTTTTTTTTTTGGTCATATAATAATTCAGTAATAATATATCAACGGAACTTCAATAGAGTCAAAAAGCCTTTTAAAAAACTTGAAATGCTAAGATCAAATGAAGGAAAGGATAAAAGATGTTAACACTAGAATTAAATTAGTAATTTTGTGTGATTCTTAGCTCGAGTTAAATGAAAAACGTGGCAATGATTTTCATTTTTGGATCTTTTTGCACAATTAAAACTATTCAGGAAAAAATAGGACAAAGGAATAATCTGAAAATACTCACACAAGTTATTGGTCCTACATTGGACATACATCAAATGATTCACAAATCTTAAAAAAATCCATGCAGTACTGTCATGTCAAAGAGTAAAAAACCTCATTTCAGTTTCTTATGTTACTGATTCTATCTGTTTTTGGCATCTTCAGAGGCATAAAGAAAATCATTTTACCTAAAAGTTGACCTATTTTATCATGTTATGAACCTCAATACCTGTTGCCTCTTCATATATGATAATAGCGTTTTTCCATTGTAGATGGTCAATGAGTTGAGAGGCAACCGCTGGACCATTGAACAGTGTGTCTTTAACAACTGGTTTGTCATCGGTTCTCTCAATAGAACTTGCATCTTCTTCTAACGTTTCGATGCATGGGCCATAGTTGTCGACACATTCCGACGGATTGAAACGAGATATTGACTTAACCTTAAAATAAGTATTACTTACATTATACTTATGTTGAATATATATCGTTACCAATATAATTCTTTAGAATACACAACGCTAATTTCAAGTGGCACTCGTTAGTTTCAAATTTTAGACAAATTCTTTTGCACTTGGTAAATTAACTGTTATCGCTATTGAAAGAAGAAAAGTTGACCGTTGGCAAATAAAAAAAATCCCTAGTAATGTTGAACATTTAATTAGTACTGTTACCAAGTTGCATGTTTGTTTGAAAAAGATTTAACTAAATTGTTATCACATCAATAATACTTTAACAGTGAATGAAACTATGTAATAAAAATACGAATAATATTTAGTATAAAACAATATACATTGCCTACAGCCAAATAACAATGATTCACATGTACAGTGAGAAAATAACAATTAACATTATAGAATCTACAATTTTTAAAAGAATTCAAATTAAGATAGGAACTGATACGAGTAATACTTATAAAGCATACAAGTGATATAGAAAAAACTTCAATAACCAACATTTATCATTATCATAAGTACATATCAATATACCATTAATGAGGTATCCACTTATTATACTATTACAATGATCAAAAAAAAAAAAAGAATCATTTCGGAGAGGCCTTAAATTATTATGTAATATTCCCATTTCTGTTTAGACTCTCTATTATTGTACAAGTTATTGTGTAACTGACCTTTGCACACAATGTCAATGCAGTATTAACAATTTTCCGAAACGTGTTACCAAAATTAATAATGGTGTCTTATATCATAAATTTATATTATTCCAATTTCATAAGCAAGGTCAAATAAAATTACCTTTTGCAGTGGTGGTTGTTTAGCATTATTTCGGGATCCCCAAAAAATCAGTCGTTTTTTGAAAGTTTTAAACAAGGATGTTTCTTTGCCATAAAATGACGGTTTCTGTAACAGCACTATCACATCTATAGAGACATCCCCGTCAAGTCGGGAAACTGTAAGAAAATTCATAATAAGATTTATACTGCGTTTGATCATGTGACCATTGGGCTCAATTAATGGCCGCCGGATCGCTCGTATAAGGTCAGCATATAGTCAACGGTTACTTTATATCTAAAACATGGCCGCACGGTTTCCCGGTATAAAAATTAGATACAGTCCAGTTATTTTTTACATTTAGCTTACTCTGTTTGCACCTGAAAGTCGAAAAAATGTTTTAGATATCTAGTATTATGGGCGAACACGCACATAATGTCGTTATTTTCGAAACATTACACAGCAATATTTGTAATAACATCTTGTGTAAGCCATCAAGAAAACGTTCAGTTGTTTGTTAAATTGCATAACGAAGTTACACATGTATTAACGATGCACGTACAATTGTCGAACATAAATTTCAACAAATTTCATATTGGAAAGTAAAAGGTAAGAGAAATACCTAAATTGTAATGTATATGGTTACTTTTCTTGTTACACGTGATGTAACTTTGCTTAAATTCTTTAAAACGCTGTGCCAGTTAATCCTTTGCCACAAATGCCACATAATTATTGCCAGATTGTAAAGAATAAAGGTATTCAAACGTATATAAAAGCTGCAGAAGTCAAGTTTCTAAAGATGATAGAACTAAATGTCAACATTCTAAAGATACAGTCAAACTTAATTATATACAAATTAAACTGCAAATTAAGCAATAATTGGACCGCATATGTTTTTAAATAAGGGTTCCGTGTGGCATCTCTTTAGGTATAAATTTATCGTTTAATGTATCCTTACCTCGATTTTAGTACTTTATTCGAGCGACCCTGCAGACATTAATTAGGCCTATTTTACGATTTTGGTCATGTGGTCATCAAAACAACGACAATAACAAATATAACGAACTGTTGGTGTATTTATGAAGTGCATTGAAGAAAATTATCTAGTAATTAACCGATGACTATAGAGACATATCTATACCATCAGTTTAGAGGCAGCTGCAGAGTGATAATATTCTGTATAGTTTATAGGTGACTGCATAATGGTAGCACGTTGAAAACTGATATAAATCTATGAAACCATTAATATAAATAATAGAATGTACCACAATCAACTCTGCGGATAAATCCATTTTTTAAATTCAGCAGTTAATGAGTTGAAAATAAAAATATTTAAATTATTGTTCTTCAAGAATGATATAATCCTTTTGGAAATACACAAATGATCATCTGTATATTAAGTTTGTATGTGACTTAAAATCGTTTATTTTTTGAAATTTCAACAAGAACTTATAGTTCTAAGTATTTTGATGACTGCTACTTGTTTCGATATTGAAGTTGTTACCTGTTTTCGCGAGGTCAACGACATTCTCTATTTCAATGCGATGATATATAACTGAAACGCCATCTTTAATATAGATAGTGTTTGTTTTATTAGAAACTCCACACTGATTACCACAGATAGCTCCTAAATCAAAATAAAGAATTAATCATTATTACATGATGAATTATTCATGAAAGTTATATCAAGAACATAGTGTGTGCTTTAACAATCACGTTCCATTTTATAGATTTCATTAGTAAATTGTTTTAAAACAAGAAAGGGTGGTAAAACCTACAATATAAGACATGATTATTATGTCGTGCTTATTATCTTTCACAACATACCTATTGACATTTAAAAACTGATTAATATTTTCCTCGAAATCAATAAAATGACAACATTTTTATATTTCACTTCTGTTACAATTATAATACATGTATATCAAAATAAAAAGATCATATATATTTTATATTTCAACCCGCTCATGAAAATCTTTATATATAGGTAAAGAAAATTTTTAAACTTAAAACACATTCTTATAAAGACAGAAATAGCAAAATGCAAAATTGCTTACCAATTACAAACTCCGATGCATGCACGTATGGAATTAATAGAACAAAAACTGGTATCCATGATTTAACCACAGGATACCAATATGCCGTACCACGCATCTCTTATGCTAACTTATTCATGTTATTATATGTGATTCCTTCTGTCAGTCTGTCAGTTTTTCATAAAGTTACTTTGGAAGTTTAACTTTTTGAAGATTTGGTACTTGGTCTTGTCAACTTCACCTGAATTTAATACTTCAAAAAATAACCGTATGTATTTTATTGACATTCACATAATACGGATATTGGATATTTTCTCCGTCCTTATTATGTATCTGATCTAATTTCAATCAGGATTTAACGCAATATTACTTATAAGTGAAACGGGTCCTTTTAAACGGAAATTGCAGTTATAAAATCGATTGACCAATCAACAGATGCGGCGTTTGTGATATTATGCCTTTGCAGCACGTGTTTTAAATTTTATTTCATTGGGAAATAAGTTCCCGGAGCGCTAATTATTCGTGAGACACGCCTGAGACATCGAATTACCGGCGCCAAAGATGGCAGATACCTGCAATGATGACAGAAATCTTAAAATTACTGATTTTTAAAAGGAGGTTATAAATTTGGTTGGTTTATTTATATTAGTACGCAAATAAGGTCAATTTCATAGCTTGTGGACTGGATATACTATACTGTAATTTTGGACTCTTTTTCCCATTTCATGAAATATTTTGAGCGGGTTAAAATGATCCAATATTTCTTTCTCAAATATTTCTTTTGTCAGTATCGAACATTTGGTAAAATTTCTCTAGTTGGTATTTCCCCATCACTATTTTTTCTTTTTTTTTCTTTAAGTCATACATACGTCACATGTTTTCTTTCAGTCTTTCAATAATTGCTTTGATTCGATTGAATATAGTTCATGTTGGTGCTATATCATTTTCTCCCAAATGTAAAATAACTGCATAAGACCAGAATAAAGGTCCGTATCCAATCAATGAGTTCTTAAGCCACCCTTATCAAGAATCGTTCGGGTATTTTATTTGTATTTTTGCAACACTTCCTTGGTATTACTCTAACTTGTTATCTGGGAGTGATTTTGATCCTCTGCAAGCACGTTAGCTACTTACAGAGCGTTTCTGTCATTATTTTCTCTTCCACCGGGCTAGTTTGGACGCCTGTAACAATTCCAGTAAAAGACACACTGGGTACATATTTGGCAAGCGTAACCCTAAATGGTGTATTTTGGTGTTTATAGCTTGTGATCCTTTTATATGATATTTTGCACACAAAAAAGTCATTTTTTCGTATTTTTCCTGATGGTATCCCAAGTCAATGGAAAAGTAGTATATAGCATGAAATTGACCTCATATAAATATACCAACCAAGTTTATAACCTACTAAATTGTATTAATCAGCAAATTTTAGATTTTTGTTATCACAGCAGCAATCTTCATCACTGGCGCCGGTAATACGGTGTGCATTTGTTAATTGAATAACATTATATATTCTCTAAGGATTATTGTTAATTCAATAATTCTTATATGCATACCTTTCACCAACTTAATGTTTACATTTAATTTATTTTGTCATTGGAGCTCTGCTTGGTGGAGGGCGGGGTAAGTCATGAGTTACAGTCATAGTTGTTTACTTAAACTGTACTTTTACCTCACGAAGTGTTTTCCTGTAACAAAAAAAATGTTTTTTTCTTAAACTAGAAATCAATTCAGTAAAGGCAGTTTAACATGGCTTTTATGACAAAATAATCTGATAAACGGTACTGCAGCCACTGGAATGTGGCATTTGCCAACGCGCAGACATATTTTGGGCTATCTAGCGTTCGCTCTTGACCATAGCCAATAATCATTTGGTTTATACTCTGTTGTCGTTACAATGTACTTCCAATAAACCTTTCTTTTGATGAACTACTGCGCATAGTCATTATATACCTACAGGTCCAATTCACTCTGTATATAGCGTCATACAGAAACGCGTTGTGGAAATTGATAAACTTGCAAACCCATCGTTCAAACATTCTCAGGCATGGGTACAGAATTTTTTGCTTTTGTCTGAAATCGTTCAATTTAATTGATAGTGTGTGGTCATGATATCAATGTCAATTAACTTATTGATATACAAATACTTGAAATAAAACACAAGAATGGTGTTGTATGGTTTACTCTATTTCTCTACTCTAATAGATTTATGTGTAGCACATATTTGTTGACTTCAGGGGCATGCGCCCATTTCCAAAGAAAATGTTTGCAAGTGCCGTTTGGCGTATATTTCGTTTAAACGAATGTGTTCAGGTTTTGGTTTCCAATTTTCTCATTTACCAAGATTTAAATGACTAGTTGTCGTTAGAATACATTTCAGCATCATATTTGTGTTTATGACTTCTGATATAAAGTCTAGCAAATTCGAAAACATGGCAAGAAATTACATGCTGTTGATTATAAATGTTAACGCAATTTTCTGTAAACCGGATTTGGTAAAATTAAGTCATTCTAGATCATTTAACAGGTGGTGGGAAGGGGAATCTGCAATCATCTGTTTAATTGTGGTACATGTATTTTGCAAGCATAGGGAGTTGCTTAAGCGGAGACAGTGTTTCTTAAGCCTCTTTTTGCAGGTTTTTTTGCCAGAGACAAAGTGAGTCGTTTTAGTCTCGGACCATTGTAGATTTTGGACTT